CAAATAAATAAATACAAAAATCTTTATTTTTATCTGGTTGTTGACTTAATCTTAAAGATGTAGTGTGCCATTTTTCTTTGCATTCGAATCTATGAAAAACACATCACATCCTTGATTCTTCGACTATAGGTCCGTCAAAGGAGAATCGAAAATCAATGCAGGCGAATGACACTGCGAGGTTTAGCCGTCTCTTTCTCACCCCCCTCTCCATCTCTTTCTGAGCCAAGCTTTTGTGCTGGCTGCACTTCAACTTGAACTCTCGAGTGACGGTGAGAAAGAGAGGGCGGCAAAAAGTAAGCGGGATGACAAGACAATTGATGGGCCAGACAGACGAAGAACGATGAATGGACAGGCGGAGAATCTGGGAGCCGGAGGAGGAGAATTCGAGAGGAGAATCAGAAGCAGATAGCAAGAGATGTGGCCAAAAAGCAGCTGTTTTCTTGGTATGTATTGTTTTTCTCAGCTTTCTGTTATTGTACGCATTTTCACACCGAGAGACAAGGCCAATTTGCCTCTCGAGTTCATTTACATTCCGCATCGCTGAGGTTTACTTTACATCCCGAAGAAATTCAATGGGCCAGCACTTCCACAGATTCCCCCACCCCCCTGAAAAAGATATCTGTCAAAAGACAAACATCCGATTCGGGCAGCGAGAATCTCTTCACGAATGGCATGAATATTTGATGAGCTGTCGTTTACCTTTTTCGCCCTCGGAACAAGCTGCATCAAAAATTCGGAGCCCCAAAAATGCAACAGGCAAAAGCAAACAAACCCAAAAAGAGCAGGGGTATCCAGGTGAGCAGGGAATGGGAGCAGATTGCCAAAAGCGGGCGATAAAGTGGAGGAGGTATTGAACTTTTGTGCCCCAGCGAAACATGGATGCTCTGGAATATACCAAGTTGATATTTTTTGTAACGATACTAAAAACTGGTAAATATTGTATCTTTTATCGTTATATTTGTAAGTTTGTTTGGGTTTATCCTTACTTAAAAAATTTGTAAATTTGTTTAAGCTAATATATCAATATTTTTTACTTATTATTGACGTACGCTTTCTTTAACTATATGCAAATATGTATGTAAGTATGTATATACTGAAGACAAATATAATTATTTTCGAAAACAATACTTCCACCAGCTGATGTCCATAAAAAATATGTTTTTATGATCAAGTCACTCAAACATCTCGTATTACCCAGCTTTTTCGAAAGAGCAACAGGAATTCCAGAAAACTGCAGCTGGCAAAGCAGTGAAAACAGAAAACAACCAAAACAGCAGTTGTATACTCGCACACACATGCCAATAAATATTTTTGCAAGTTGCAGCGAGACAAAAATCGAGAAAAAATTTAACGAAAATGAAAAGTCAACAGCAGAAAACACGGCAACAACAAACTGAAATCATTTCAGGCCAAACCCGTTTCAAAAGCCAAAAAGAAATTCACGTGCTCTGCAAATTTACCATATTTTTTTTGCCTTTTGCCGATGGCAATGCATATTAACAACAACAACAACCAGTAGCAAAAAATGGGAGGAGCAGAAGAAGAAGAAGCAACATTGTCATTTAACGGGACAAGCGAACAGGGCGCAAAAAGAGGCTGAAAAAATGCGTGAATTTTAATTTGCATATTTGCAAGTCGGAAACGAGAAAATCCAAGAGCAATAAGCGGTTTTTCCCAAAGGATATGAATCAGAATGTGGATATAAAAGTTCCATAATTATACTTTCTTATCGCGTTTACAGGCTCTCTAACCAAATTACATATTTACACACAGACATACATATGTATGTACATGTCCACATTTTTTAAAATAACAAGCCAATATAAAAAACCTGTTGAGGTTCATGATCTTTAGGTATTTTCACCCCATATTAAAAATTCGAATTTCAAAAACCATTTCCACTTGTTGAGGCAAGTTTATAACTTCAATCACCTCACACGACTTGCACATAAATCACAAAAAAATAAAAGAAACAAATACATTAACCGATCGCAGGATGATAAAATTGAAAATATAAAACCAAAAGCACACGTAATAATCATGCGTGACGCATTTTAATCGAACTCCAAAAACACAAAAACCTCGGAAACCGGCAAAAACGAGATGAAGAAAGAAAGAGGGAAAAAGACGCTAATACGGAACGTTTTTTTTTTTTGTTATTTATTTTTATAAATATTTCTCGTTTGTTGTTTCTTTTCAGAGCTTTGACATTTGTTTGTGGTGATTATGTTATTCCGTCATTTTTTGCACTTGCTATTAAATGCCATTTTGCCATGTAATTGAATTGCACAAAAAATTACGCGCACAATTTCACTTATTTTCAACACTTTCTTCGCTCTTTTTTTGGATTCTATGCTCATTAAATTTCAATTTCAGTCAACGATTTTTGTTTAAAAATTTCACTTTTAGGTACGTGCGGGTATTTATGCAGCCGTTTTTGGCAGCTTTATTTTGTTTTCGTTTTTTTTTTTTTCTTGCCTATCTTGACACCTTCGCCACTTTCGCTTCTAATTTTTTGATAAGGGACACAAATGCGATTTCAATTTGGCTGCTATTTAAACGCACACAAAAATTCGTTAACACCTTACTTTGCTTTGCTTATTGTTTAAAATATTTTTGATTTTATAACAACAATTTGTTATTTTATAGAAAAGGCAATAAGAAACTTGAAGTACTGTCATCAGAAACATGTAAGGGCCTTTCTGAATTAAAATTGGTAGTTTTAAGATCTCTTAAAAATTTGTAATTTGGTTTTTGAATTACACAAGTCACACAAGCTTTAACTAATGTTTCGAGCACAGTTTTTGTTAGATTTATTTTTTATACATTTTTTACATTTTTGAAAAAGATTACCTCAACACTTTCACGTTTTTCAAAAATTCGTACAACGACCTAATAGCTTTTTGATTGTTTGCTATATTTCTTGCTTTGTTTGTTTTGGTTTTCTTATTCCGCGCTGCTCTTCTTTCAACTGTTGCTGCCAATTGGCAACTGCTTTACATTCTGCCGTTACTTTTTGACTAGCTAATGAAGAAGAAGAGGCAGAACCGGAAACCCGAAATATATTACGATTCCTGTTCCGATTTCCGATTTGAGGATTTCGCGACGCAGACGCGCGATACACACACAGGAAGGCCCGGTTGTCCTCGCACACGCACACGAACAGTCGGACTCGCTGGCTCGCACGCCCACACGAGTGGATTTTCAAAACGACTCTGAGGCGAAAGACAGAAAAGCTGGGAGTCTAGCCCCAATGGAACTGGCAGCAACAACAACCACAATGCCGCTCGCACGTTGCGCACGAAGCTCAGATTTCACGTTCCCCACTTGGAATACCATCCACAAACCGGCTCTCTCTCGCTCTTGCTCTCGTTGGAAGAGCGACAGTATAATTGGGGCCAAGATATTAGGCAGCGATAGAATGCTAACATCCTTGTAAAACTTTACTATGGCTAATTAATTTTGCCTTCGATTAGGGCAAAAGGTGTAATTTTAATGTACTGCTATTAAATTAGTTTAATTTAATATATTTTATAGCCGAGTTCTGAATCCCCTTTAGAATATTCCCTATATTTTCAGAAGTAATGGCTGGCTGGTGCTAATGAATTGACCTCAGTCGTAAATGCATTTTGCTTTTGAGTGAGAGAAAGAGAGAGTGGGTGGAGTGCAGTTTGTTGTTGTTGTTCTCTTCTTGCTTTTGTTGCTTCATGGGGGCGAAATTCTTGTTTATTTACATTTATTTACATTCCAAATGCGCGCAGTTTAAGCAAACAGAAAGAGATGGTAAATGGGCGGAGGGTGGGTTGGTTTGCAGAGAGGGCCGGGGAGCAGCCCGCATTAGCTAAAGTAAACAATTTGGAAAACAATGCAATTCAAAGGAGCCGGCGTTGCAGTTGCAAGTCGGATATTTGCACAGTGTACCCCAAAAGTATGCAGAAGGCAATGATTTCCCACCGCGGAGAGATAACGAAAACAAACCGAATAACCGGCGTGGGTCACAAACAAATACACATGTAAATAGAGGCACGAGTCGAAATCAGTCGGCATTCCATATGCTTTTTGTTTTTAAGCCGCCTGAGAGAGTTATGCTCCCACAGTGTCTGCCTCTCTGTTACTGGAATAACAACATAAACAGTTTATTTTTTACACTGTGCGAAATAAAGTTGAATTTTTGGCAAAAGTAGCAGATCAGTCAACATTAACACTCTGATAAATATTTTGGTTGTTCAATCTTTTAAATTGTAAATCATAAAAGAAAGAAACAAGGAAATCGTAAAGCCCTTTTTAGTTTGTTTAAAAACTTACCTATCCACAAAAACTCAACATTAAATATTTGTAACTTAATGACCCTTTATTGGTTCAGTTCAGTGTATAAATATTTCCATGCTCCACCACGCGCTGTGGACTGGATGTGGATACTGGAAGTACAACTGTTTACCGAACCAAAAACGACAACATTAGCCGAGAGAGCGGTCCAACATAATCACTCTCCCCACTCTCACGAATGGTCTCCACAATCCACAAAGTGACGTCGGCTTTTGCGGCGGCGTATTGCACTTGTTCGCTCCTCTCTATCATCCACATGTTTATGGTTGTTGTTGTTGGCTGATAACGAACAGCTGATAACCGCAAGATAAACCGCAGCTGCGAGGGGCGTTTCGAAAACCAGAAGATAGATAACCAACTGTTGCATGCCCCACATTTTTGGGGTTACACTTCAAACGGATTACCGCTAGACAATGGATGCCACTTACTGGGTTTTGTTGGTTTTTTAGGTAAATGGGTGGGGAATGGGTGCATATATTTGCATTTGTAATGAGAATTTATAAAAGCGGGAATTCGAATTCCAATTCAATTGTTTCTTTGGTTCATAGGAGTAAAAGGAAAAAAAATGTTTGCCGGTAAAACGATTTAAGCTTTTATGTCTTACAAAAGAGCTCAAAAATTAAAGTACCTAAACTTTACCATTTATTCTTGGATTTTTGTTTAACTCGACTTACCTTAGTGGTTCTGCCAGCAGATCTATATTTTCGCAGCTTTCCATTTCCAGCCGCTGATATTGCAACTGCCTAGCACTAGAAGTACTTGATCTTCCGCCAGATCCTCCCACAAATGTAGCCGAGTTTGATGAGTGGCGACGATACTCAGCAAAACTCTCGCTCTTGCGGAGACCCGGGATTTTTCCGGAGCTATTGCGCCAATACTTGATCATCCGGTGAAGGGCCTTGGGCGAACTGGTTGCCGATGACGACGAAAGTGATATTTCACTGCCACCCACAATAATTGGGTGGCCATGGTCAACCAAGGTCCTGTAGGAACTCATTTTTTCCACTGAAAATAATACAAATTAAAAAATTTTCTAATGAGTAAAAATATATAAATAATACTTACATAGGTTACAAACTTTTTGTTTATTCAGCTTTGCATCTATTAATTTAGTAATCCATTCTCTGTATGTAGGTATTATTTTCCCTCTTCTGCCTTATCTGAGTTGTTGTAACTCATGTGGTATTTTATGGATTTTTTATTTTTATTACAGATCTTATAGGCTAATGATTTTATTTATTAAGGGCGAAAAAAATATTATAAATTAAAAAAATTAAAATATTTTCTCTTATCACCCATTAAATGCACTATTAGTAACAATTTTATTATCAGACTACTTTTTGCATAATTAAAGTTCGTTTTGCTGCTCAAGTCGCGTTTCGATTTGGGTTCGTTCGGAAGTCGCGTCGCGCCGCCTTCGATTTTCCGACTGACCGCAACAAAGAATCGGACCAGAGCCCCCAGAACAGATTCAGACCTCCGTAGAACTGAGAACCGAGAACCGAGCTCCATATTATCTGGAGCACTCGCCCTCGCTCTTTTTTGCTCTCCCTCTCCGGCGGCTTGATTTCCATTGTTTTTATAACTTCGCACGTTTTATTGCAAAGTTTTTTTTTTCAGAAACTACTTATATTTCTTGCAATTTCATTATTGCAATCGTACCTGGTACTTGGGAAAAACTTGGAGCATATAAAGATGGTAATCGTAATAAGTCGCTAAAATTGCTTAGAAAAAAATCTAAATTGAAAAGAATTAATAAAACAAATAACTAATTAAATGTAATATTCAAGATTTTAAATTTAAATTGTTTTTCAAAACACTAATTTCTTATTCTTTTCTGTATGCAAAGTATTATTAATAGTTAATTTCACTATTTAAACACCTTAGCTAATTTTATGGTGATAATCAAAACACATATTTTTGGGGTAAGAGTCATTCATTACCATATACTAGGTATTTTAATTTTCTTGAGCTTAACTTAACCGTTATTACTTGTTTTGCTTTGCATTTTAGTTTTATTTTTCTGACGATAAATGACCGAGCTCTGATTCCGCTAACTCAGCTCGTTTTCATTTTACTGTCGATATAGAAATTAAGTGTAATTCGTATACGCAGTCGTTAAAATGTATTTTTGTTTATCTTTTCCAGCTATCGGTTATCTTAGGTCTTTTGATCCGCCCCTTTAAACACGCCCCATGAATAGAGCCCATTGTCTAGTTCAATGCTCCAATAAATCACCGCAAAGACTTTAGTTAATCAATAAAACAATCCATCAGCGTTTTTCTTATCTCTTGAGAGGCACAACCTTACACTCTTTTGACATTTCAGGTGCTGGAAAATTTAAATGCCCCTTAAAGAACAGATTTCACGCAGATTTTCCCAAACCCTCTGGCTTGTGCAATCGGGGAAAATAGTGGCAGCAGAACTAGGACTTAAGTGTATCATCAATGCATCAATGAGTCAAGCTGGGTTTACGATTCTGCGGGTCACCGACGAGAACTTTAATGGCTCTCGAAAAGGGGGCGATAAGGAAACAGACTTCGGGGCGTCGCAATATGGAATTAAATGGGAGATGGGGATTGCTCAGTCACAAGGGGATATGGAGATAGTGGGGAAAAGCGGTTCAGCAACTGCTAAATGCCGCGGCAATTGAGTTATCGAGCAATCGAATACGCAGCAAATCAGATAAATCAAAACATGCAAAACAAATCGCATGATAAGAAAGCTGGAAAGTTGAAAATGAAAAAAAAAAATAAAATTCAACGACTGAGCAACTGACATTGATGTCTTTTGGATACTCTAGCTACTATACTTTATATATATAATAATATAGTATCTAGTATGTTATAGTACAATAAAATATTTAAAAAAAAAAGCCATCAAATTTTCTGCTACCTATCTATTCATAATATAAATTATTTGTATATTGAAAGTTAAATGGTTGAGTTAGGGCATATCATTTTAATTTCGGTGTTATCTAACGTCCTGGTTAATAAACAAAACGTCAAGTAATTGGCATTTAAATAATTGCAGCGTCCAACCCTGCTTACTTGCCATATGAAATGATCTCTTAATAATCAATGATCTTTCAAGAGTAGCAAAAACGATATAAAATGAAATCGAAAACCCAAATTGAAATCGAATTCGCAGTTGCTACTGTAACGGTTTCGGCCACGCGAAAGCCGAGAAAGATTTATCATGGCATTTCCTTGATGACGATACTGAATCACCCCCTGGCATTATCCCCCAGTTCGACCCCCTTGACCACTCAAACTATGTGTGTGCGTTGTCAAAATTACACTAAAGCGGAAATCGCCTGCTCCGCTTCAGTGCCAATCGACAGAAGACAGCCGAACTGACCACAGAGTAAAATCAAAACAAAACTGCACTGCCTGCAGTCTCAGATAACTACACTGATACAAAATCGGAAGATCTTTATAATAATTTTTATTATAAATTTTACTATTTGTTAAATTTTTTATTTTTAAGAAAAAATTGTTGGGATATTTATATACATATATTTTTTGACCTTAAAAATTTATTTAAATTTACTTATTCAGTTATGTTGAATAAGTAAATTTAAATTTAAAAAGACACGAAAAAGTAGGCGTTTAGTTGTACTGATTAAATGGGGTTGAAAAAATTATATAGTGAAAAAATGGTATAGCTATATTTTAATAATTTAAAAATATTAATAGTTTAAAATAGGTATGACAATATCATATCATATCGTTAGTTTCCGCGCAGATATAATCTAATGTTTAAGAGTTTCATCGCTTTAAAATACACAAAATTTAAGATAAAAGTAAATAAATATAAAGTACATCATAGAACAAATTTAAAAAAATAATTAATCTATTTATCTATTTAAGATATTTTTTTCTAGTTATAGAAGAGGGACAAAAAGGGGTTTCGGGATGCAGACACGCAACACCCGCGACACTCGACGACATAAATCAAGCTCAGAGAAAAACCAAGTGAAGGAGTTGGGGGCGACTGTAAGGCGAGACACTTGCATTTTGGTCCGGCTTTTTTGAGGGGTTTGAGGCAAACATGTCCGAACTGTCGGTAGTCTGCCCCTTTTTATCTGCCCCCCATCTACCACCCACTTTTTAGCAACTCCCTCTGATTTCCCCGATAAGCGAAAATGTGCGTAACTGAGAGAAACGTAACACTGGCAGCACGCAAGACTGTGGTCTGCACTGAGAAAAAAAGGTAAATTTAAGGTTAAGATACCCTCAAAAATTATTCATAACAAAATGTTGAGCTCATTAGACTTACAAAAAAAACCTAAATTAACTTCTTCTCAGTTGAAATAATACTTTGAACAATAAGTTCGGCATTATCATGCAACAAAATGAATAGATGAATTTAGCATATATCTTTGAGGTATTTTAACATTTATAAATTCAAAAAAAATTTTGTCTGAATGATACATTACTTTCTTTGAATTATTTGATTTTAATTTTTGAACTTAAATATTTTTTATTATCCCGATAAGATTCTAAGTAAGTGGTCCAAACTTAAGTTTCAATACAAAACCTTTTACAAAATACACAAACCCTTTTATCTTTTTCTTTACCGCATCTACCTTCGCTGTTACATTTATAATATTGTTATATTTCATATTTTATTTTATATTTAAAATTTGAGCAGTGCAAGTCAGAGCCGAGGTTGACGTTAAAATTGGAGAAGGAGTCTCAAACTGAGTCGAAGACCGAGACTAGCGAACATATTTCATTCCATGGACATGAGACACGAGACTGCGGCTTTAATTGACATGTGTTCATTAGAAGCGACGGAGGAAACGGGTTTGGAGTGGGCAACTCAAAGAGTACACGAGGATTTATTGGGGATCGTGTTGAGATTGAGGCTGCAAAAAGTGTGATCCATTTGTAGTTATTGAAAAATATCACTGCATCATACAGTTTACTAGCATAATTACACCTGTTAACTGGAAAAAACATGGAAAAAAAGAAACACCGTTTCTTTATGGCTCCAAAAAAAAACAATACATTGCAAATTGCTATAAAAATATTTTCAAATAAATTTTTCCATGCCGAATCGGCGTTAATAATTTTTTCTAGCATGCAGATTTGTATTCGATAGATACAAATGCTAACGCGGCGTAAGTTATTTTTTAAAATTCTGTCACACTCATTCTAAATCGGTAACTGATGATTGATCAAATCGACAATAAAGTTTCTTTTAGTTTAAAAATAAAATCTTACATTTTAATAAAATATTTTACAGAGCCGGTCAATATCAGATTATGTAAAATATTGATCATAAATTTAAAACGAATATATTTTCATGAAAATATTATTATACCACTTTTTTGTTTTTTTTAATTGATTTTCTAACAATGACCATTTCAAATCGCCGCGTCGCCCCGTGCTAAATTACATTTAGCCGTTTCGCTTCCCACCTAATAAAAATTCTTCACTCTAGAAGTCACTTTTCAAATGAAATACTTGAGTGAGTGGTATTCGCAGCAGCGACAATTTGTATTTCTTTAAATTTTGTACATCCTTTCTCAGTTTTTGCTTTGTTGGCTACATCAGTGGCTTGTCGGTTCAGCGAAGATTTTTACAACATTTTAGCCAAGGAGAATGCGAACAAAAATCTTGTTATTTCACCCGTCTCAGTAGAAATTGTAATGAGCTTGGTCTACATGGGAGCATTGGGTAAAACGGCTCAAGAACTGAGAAACACTTTACAATTACCTACAGATAAAGATGAGTTGGCCAAAAAGTACTGGCGGTTCTTTGGAAATATGCGAAAGCTTGAAAGTTCACACAATCTTTATCTGGCAAATCGTATATTCGTCAACGAGAAATTTCCCCTTGTGGCGAAGTTTGTTCAGACGGTGCGAAAGTCCTTTAAGACCAGAACCAGGAAATTCAACTTCGATGATCCTGATAAGACGGCCTTGAAGATCAACCGTTGGGCTGCTTATGAGACTCACGGCAAAGTCCATGACATAATATCACCCGTCGATATAAGTCCTGATCTTAGCGTTATTCTGGTAAATGTAATTTACTTCAGGGGCAAGTGGGAACATGAGTTTCCGGCAAACCAAACCCACACTGCAGACTTTCAAGTGTCCAAGAATGAAATCACTCCGGTTGAAGTGATGACCATGTCCGGTACCTTTTTGGCTGCTAACTTGGCCGAATTGGATGCCAAGGTAATCGAGCTGCCGTACCAGAAGTCAAACCTATCAATGCGCATCTTTTTGCCCAACAGAGTGGATGGTCTAAGCAAACTGGAAGAGAAAATAGCAGGATTCTCTGGGCCATTGAAAGAAACTTCTGTGAATGTTTATTTGCCCAAGTTCGAAATAGAGTTTAGCACGCGACTCAAATCAATTCTACAAAAGGTTAGTACTTAGTTTGTGAAAAGTGTCATTGATTAATAGCTTCGTTCAGTTAGGAATTCGAGAGGCTTTCAGTCCTTCTGCGAACTTAAAGGACTTAACGAGAGGACTTGGAGTGAAGATCGATAGCATCCTGCATAAAGCGTCCCTAAAAGTCTATGAAAAGGGTACCAAGGCCTTGGGAGCCACAGGTATTTCATTATTCAATTGTGTGGAGTACCTACTCAAGTTTTAATTATTTGTTGATTTATAGATGCACGTGTCCGCAAAAAGAAGTCTTTGGATCAACTTAAAAAGCCTACCATGGATTTTATTGCCAACCATTCGTTTGCCTACTTAATTCATGATCAAGAAACAGTTTACTTTCAAGGCCACATTATTGATCCAAAATTAAATTCTGATGAAGATGAAAGTAAAGAGTACGAGATAGCTGAATCATATTCTGCAGAAATATAAACCCTTTTTTCACTTAACAAGTATTTATTGTTTATTGTTCAAAATTCAATTATAACCTTGTAATGGGAATTTTAGAGTTACTTTTGATCAAAATTGTTTTTTCATCTTGTTTTTATATTAATTTTGGTTTGTTTTCATTTTGTTTTTCGTTACCTTTTTTTTTAATAACAAGCCACCTATTTTCAAATTGTAAACTTCTACATAGGAAATTAAGATTGTTAAAGTACTTTCCATAAAATTTTAAATACCTTTAAGATACTAACTGAGAAATATCTTATGACTGTTATTTATTCCTTTTTCGCTTCCTTTTTCCTTTTTAAAATCTTTTTGAGTATTTTAAACTAAACTCTTTATCCAAAGTAAGTCGCCAGATAGGAAATTTCAAAGGTTCCCCTCCCGAAACCTTTTCACGCCATGTGTGCTTCGACTGCTAAGCCAAACCTTTTTCCTTATCCTCCATTCGACCTCCCAGCTAATTGGCCTTCGACGATCCAAGCGAATGACGTCCAAGCCGTCCGACAAGCACAGCTGTTTGACCTTTTGGCCTTTGGGTAAAAGGCAAAGGCAACGTCTTCGATAAAAGTTATAGGCGCCCATAAATTAAAATGCAAATTAAAAGACAGCAAGAGAGCGGGAAACATCTAAATGTACTGAGGAAAGTCAAAGTGCTAGGATCAAGGGGCTGGCAAATAATTATCGCTCTGTACTGTCATTTTTTTATCGCCCTAATTTTGGCCAATATTTGGGCAATAAAAAAATACAGTTGACTCAGCCAAGGGATAAAAACCAAGAAGAACTCGCCGCACAAAGTCATCATTCTTGGCTAAGCAAAAAAGTTTTAATTAAAAAAATTGTTAACTTTGGTGTGGAAAAAATGAAGAAAATTGCGCAAAACTACGTGGAAATGCCACCACTTTTTATTTTTTGCTGGGCACGCGACAAATTAGACGGGACACGTCTGTCAGCTGGATTTTCCCGAATCTCTTTTCCCGCCTGGTAATCCCTGTCAACCAACTTTTGTTCCACAGCTTTCCTTTTCGGACTCTTCGTAAATCCAAAATCAGCTTAAATTTAATTTTTCGCTTTCCCTTTTGGATTGGGGAAAAGGAAATACGGGTGGATAAAGCAGGATTCCGGAAGTGAAGCCGGGAGGTGTTTCCTTTGGTTCTAAGCGCTTAGAATTTCCGGAGGCTATGAAAACTTTTGCTAAGCAAACTATTTGCTTTGCTCTTTTGAGAATTTATTGCGACACACAATGGTCTTCGTATTGGTTAAGTTTTTCTTTAAAAATAAAATTTATAATATCAAAAAAAAAAAGTCAAAACCTCCTAAGATTAGAAAGAAAGTTTGTTGTTTTCGATGATTAATTCCAGTCGATTACTCAAAGTTTTCGATATCCAATAGCAGGAGCTAAATTTATGCAATATAATTTATGAGTGGCAAGACCTGAGGAAAACATGAGCAACGAAAAAATGGTTAGATAATGAAATTAGAGGAGTATCCATGCAGTTAACAAATTGCTTGGCAAAGCGATTTGCTTACAAGTGCGCAACTAATTAAGAGTATGGAAGGACACAAGAGCTCGTGTAGAAGGACACACCCACGCACACACACACACGTGCCACAAGTGGCAGTGAAAGAAGAAGCAGCCACAGGATTAATGAGCTGCCACTTGAAGCACTTTCAACGCCAAAAAAGGAACGCCAGACAAATGTGGCAACAACTTAATTTAAACATGGGGAAATTAAGGAAATGCACTCTGAATCGGGGTGAAATAATTAACAAACTGTCGACGGTTCGGAGTTATCTCAAGAGAAGCAGCTGTGTTCAAAGGAAACGCATTTAAATTTACAAACAATAAAAAATTGTCAAACGCCTGCCCAACGCCTACGTTTTTTAATGACCCCCTGGATATCCTTATCTCGGGATCATCGCAAATGTTGCGTAACTAAGGGCACACTTTCGCCCCTCTTTCTCGAGATCTTCCTACCTGCCTTTATGGAGAGATTTTTAATTGTTGCACCCGAAGGATCGCCACGAAGGATCCTCCATTTGCGCCTCTATCTTGTCCCTAATTGAGTTGTCGGCACCGGGATAATGAAGAGCATATTTCCCAAACACACTTTTTGACACTTTAGCCGAGCATTTGAATAAGATCCTGGCACATGTGCTGTCCTGCCAGTTGAAGCGTGCCAGGAAGCGAAGGAAATTGAGTTGTGACTGGATGAAAATTTAATTGCGGGGGAGTGCTATAAAGGTAAAATAAAGAGGAAAACGCAAATGAACTCGTTCCAAGAATCCATTTAATTAAAAGCAGTTTGAAGTGTACCATTTCTTTATGCACTTCTGTTTAATTTAAATTATTTTCTAGTTCAGAAAAGATTTTCTTCTTTCTGTTTGTTTGTTTTTCCTGACGTTAATTCCTCCCAGAATCTAAAATATTTATTGCCATGTCTAACTATTAATTTAACCTTTAGAACACACAGATTGTTCAGTGCGAATTATTCCCACCGGATAGTTTGATAAAGTTTAAGGCAAGGTCTTAGCCGACTTTCAGAACGCTTCAGCTGTCAGTTTCTCATTCATAGCTTATAAATTTCAAAACTCATTGAAAATCGATAAATAAAAGTAGAGTAAAAACTGAAAATGCAGTGACTCAACACGAATGCCTTGACCGTGAGGAGAGGGGAATGAAATGCGAGTGCTTCAATTATTTGCGCACAATTTGCACACGAAATGACGGCAATTAGCAGTGAGACACCTGCCAAATGGGAGCCCACCTGAATGGGTTGGGGGATAGTTCGTCACGAGTTCCGTTTTTTATGGGAAAACGAGAAGGGGGACAACTAGAGCGAAGCCGAATAGTTGACCCCGTTCAGAAAATAGCTGGGACCGAATAAGGAAGTCAAGTTTCCTGGCCATTGTCACGTGCTGAACTCGTTTTTTTTCGTTTTTGAAGGGGACAAAATGGGGTTAAAACGAGGGATCTAAAAGATGAAATGGGTTATGGACTTTAAGCCTTTAGACTTTTGCAAGTGGAAACTTAAATACCAATCCTAGAATTTAAATCTAATTCTTAAGCCATTTGGAATTCATTACAGTCACTACAAATTATCACTTAAATCAATTCCAAATGAATCAAAAGCAGTAATTTTTGTCAGCCTGATAAAAGTCAAATGTGACTAATAAAATAAAAATAAATTCGGGACCTTGTTCGGAAAAGTTTCATCTTATTAATACTTCATCGAGAAAATTGTGCCACCGAACATTCCCCGAATTGCCGGCCTCATCCTTCATTCGAACAACTTGTTTACAGGACAAAGTTGGGAAGACGAACTGAATGTTCTGTCAAAGGAAAACAATTCAATTTCCCGTGGAAAAACCAGAGCACATAACTGCGAAAGTCTTCGAGGAATGGAATGCGTGGGTGGAAGATAGGGTGACCCAAATCCTCTGCGAACGGAAATGGAAAATATCAAATAAAAACGCAAAAAAAAAAAACAGAAAAAGCCATAAAAGTCCAGCTTCTGCACTGAAAATAATTAACCGAATAAAGTAAGGATATGGGAAATACAAAAAGAATATTTGTTCATAATTATCGAATTAAAGTATTACAATCAACATTTATTTTCTTACTTAATAGACAAATTGTGTTAAAATTAAAAGTAGGTTTATGAATACTAAAACTATATTCCTTCTGCATTAGTTTTGCATAGATTTTATTTTCAGTTAGCCAGTATATTGAAGTACTTCAAATCAGTTGAGCAAATAGAACCCGTTGTGTGGGGTCGGAAAATGAGGAAAATGGAAACGGCTGGGTGGTCGAATGGGGAAAGTAGGAAGGACTCTGCCCGACTGTCTGCCCGGGATTCATAAATAAAACAAAGTGGCGCCAACGCGCGACAAAATGACGCGTCGCCCCAGTATTTGCAGCGGGTGTTTCTTCCTTGGGTTTTCCCCATTTTCCCCCCAAATTTCCACTTCCCATTGTTATTCATTGGCTTCACTTGCCAGGGAATCGCTCTCGCTTTTCTCCCTTTTCTCCGTTGACCCAACTCCACCGAATATCGATTTTCTGGCTGTAACATTTGTCTGGCTTTTAGTTTGCAGCTAGAAGAGCAACTAGTTGCGGGTTTTCCGTCCCGATTTTTTTTGTTTTTTTTTTTTTTTTTGAGAGCGAACTGCAAGTGCAACAAAGAACAATTGTGGGTGGAAATGGTGGCCCGGAAAACTGCGGAAAGCGTATTGATTGTTTCCTCGATAAGCGCATGTCGCGCGTAGCGGAAACGAGACTTTTTCAGTCTGGTTGGGAAAATTCGTTAAAGTTCAGCATTTCATGTGGGTGTAATTCAGGAAAAACTTTTGGCAAAACAGAGCAGTTTGGTGAGCGTTTTATTTGGCTGTTTATAAGCAAAAACAACACAACTATTAAAATGAAATTAAGCCAAAACCAACAATTTAACTTAAGTACGATAATGATACTTTAAAAATTTTGGAATTATCTGTTAAATAACTTACACAACTTTATATATTTTTAGCTTTTTCTTATACTAAAAAGTTTTAAATACTTAAATTTTATTGGATATCTTTGATTGCTATTTTTAATATATATTCCGAACTTAAAAGATTATGTCACAAATTGTAATTTGGAATGTATTGTAATGAAACGTTTCAAACCAACATTTATTACCCCTCAACCCCTCGAAATGCAAATTGCAATTTAAAAAGAGGACAAAAATCGATTGGCGAATGCAAATTTATGAGGAAAGTGTCCTTGAAGCCATTTAGGAATCGAAATTATGCATGCCCACTCGTTAAAGTGACAAACATCAGGCGACGCAACCCCGTTGATCAGATTGGGAAATGCGCTTTTTGCCATTAAAATTTATGGGTTTCAGTAAAGAAGCCCCGAAATGCGTTCCAAAATGCAAAAATGTGCAAAAATTATAGCGTGGAGGAATGAGCATCCCATTTATAACGAGGGGAGAAGTAAGGGAAGCACTGCACTTCGGGGGGTGGCATGCAAATTGTT